CAGTCTAACATGTTTGTGATATAGGGATCCATGCAAATGGCCGGATTGGGTCCAATTTCATGGTGGTGATTGATGACTTGCTTTGTTTTGGAGAGGAAGAATACGAGAGCTTTCCGTGGATGGGATTGCATTGTACACTACTACTACTACTTACATGCAGTGGGTTCAAAAGAAAAGTGAAAAGTAAAGGGGGGAAATTTGGATATACCACGTTGGGATGGAGGTTGCAGGGAGAGATGATCAAGAATCCCATCGATAGACGAATAATGACATGATCTTGGCTTTATTTAATTGTTCAGGTTGGCGCAATAGTGATTCTTGATGTCGAAATGAAGGGATGGTATGAGCCCATCCCCAGGAACCATGGATCATTACTTCCCCTTGCAGCACCAGCGACCGTGCAATCACGCCGAATGGGGGGAAGGGGGGCACCGTTGCAGACTCTAGATAAATCAGGGCGTACGTAGATAGAGATAGGGATGCAAATGACACCTTACAAGACCAAAGCAGACACACCTTCACTAATAGAAGTGGGAACTAAACTCGGCTGTCAGCACGGAAGGGCGTCGGCGATGCGACGGTTAAAGGCGGCGATTAAAATGGCGGGGTGGAGAAAAAGGAAAAAGAAAGTGAAGAAAGATTCTGGAACTCGGCGCGGGTCCCTCTCGACCACTTCGTCCTATAGTTCTCCAGCATCCAGTCTGCGCAACGTAAAAGAAACCCGGCATCAGCCAGAAATTTTCAAGCAAACTTGCCCCCTCTCTCTGTGCGCGGCTCGTCTCGTTATCATTCCTGGGATTCTGCGTCTCACCGATCTATTTTTCTCTCTCGTTTCCTTGGCCCATTACAAATCGCAACCCTAGAAACCTTGAAGGTTGGCCTGCTTATATTAGACAGCATTGCGTCTTGCAGGGGCCCTGTGATTTCATCATCCACCTCTTGTCTTTAAGCATTCAACTGCTCTACAAGACCAAAGTACTCGCGCATTTAGACTATCAGCGACTTATTGTTCTGATTTATTCACTTTTTGCTTTTTTCTCTTTTTTTTTTGCCCTTCTATTATTCCCCATTTCGTATACTCCATTTTAAACTTCCTTCCCCCCTCCAAATTCGTGACAATGGTTGCTCTCCCCACTCAGAACGGAGCGTCGAGCCCTCAGGATCGCCGCTTCGGAACTTTGGCCGTCCACGCTGGTGCTCCCCATGATCCTACCACCGGCGCTGTCATTGCTCCTGTCAGTTCCGCATTCTTCTCCGAACACTGCCTTCACTTCTACCGTGCACGCGCTAATCAGCTGGCCCATAGATCTCCCTCTCTACCACCTTTGCGCAGACCAGCGTCGGAAACCCCGTCGGTCTCTACGAATACACCCGCAGCTCGAACCCCAACCGGTTAGTCAGAACGGAATCGCCATAGCTGAGATAGCTGAGATACACTGATTGCATGGATATTGACTGCTGGAATTTAGTGACAACTTCGAGCAGGCCATTGCTGCTCTTGAACACGCCAAATATGCCCTTGCCTTCTCCTCTGGCTCTGCCACCACCGCCGTCATCCTCCAGTCTCTCGCCGCGGGCTCTCACATCGTCTCCGTCTCCGATGTCTACGGTGGAACTCACCGTTACTTCACCAAGGTTGCCTCCGCCCATGGCGTTCAGGTGACTTTCTCGCCTTGCATTGAGCTCGACGTCGAGGAGCTCATCCGCCCCAACGAGACCAAGCTGGTCTGGATCGAAACCCCCTCCAACCCCACCCTCGGCCTGGTCGATATCGAGAAGATCGCTGCCGTCGCCCACAAGTACGGTATCCTGGTTGTCGTCGACAACACCTTCCTGAGCCCCTACGTTCAGAACCCTCTGGACCACGGTGCCGATATCGTCGTCCACTCCGTCACCAAGTACATCAACGGTCACTCTGTAAGCTCAACTCTGACACCCGTTCCTCCCTAGCAACGGGAATCAGGCTAACCATGAATAATCTCAGGATGTCCTGATGGGTGTCGCCGCCTTCAACTCCGACAGCCTGCAGGAGCGCCTTTCTTTCCTCCAGAACGCCATCGGCGCTGTCCCCTCCCCCTTCGACTGCTGGCTCGCCCACCGTGGTCTCAAGACCCTCCACCTGCGTGCGCGCGAGGCCACCACTAACGCCACCGCCGTCGCCAAGGCCCTCGAGGCTTCTCCCAACGTCATCGCCGTCAACTACCCCGGCATTGACTCTCACCCCAACCGTGCCATTGCCGTCAAGCAGCACCGCAACGGCATGGGCGGCGGTATGCTGAGCTTCCGTATCAAGGGCGGCCAGGAAGCCGCTCACCTCTTCTGCAAGTACACCAAGATCTTCACTCTGGCCGAGAGTCTGGGTGGTGTTGAGTCTCTTTGCGAGGTGCCTTCCAGCATGACCCACGCTGGTATCCCCAAGGACCAGCGCGAGGCTGCTGGTGTCTTCGATGACCTCGTCCGTATGTCCTGCGGTGTTGAGGACTCCGAGGACCTCTTGGCCGATGCTCTTCAGGCTCTTGAGAAGGCTGTGGCTGCGACTAAGGTCGAGAACGGATCCGCTTAGAGGGATTCTTGGTGATTCATTTTTGTTCGCTTCGTTATCTGCGTGTTTGGGACGATACATAGAGCGTTTCTACGATATATATATAAATGTGAGACGATAGAGGGTCTTGTGTGGCAGTTTTGCGGGCCCGGTCATGACACCAGATTATACCTTCTAAAGCCAAGCAATTATACAAGTAGTTGTACGGATTCTCCTTGTAACTATATAGAGTCATATCAATGAAAATCAAAATAAAGATAACAATCGTCCTTCAGACCAAATCTATACGCGATGTATAGGACCGGTTTCAGCACCCAATCACAATGCTTAGTCATCCCGATAACGAAAATGCAAAATTTGGACGAATGAAGCAACAAGAGAAAAGAACCAGGCATTGACGGGCTAATATACATCGGACTCTGTCTAGACAGGAGATATCGGAAATAGTGTCTTTCTGAGATTGACTAACTGTCTTGAGATTTCCTTCGGATCAACACGGTGCTCAGACTATTCAATCCTTCATTGAAGTAGATCATAGGATACCCCCACCTCACTGCTGGATATCCATCTTCTACTTCTCAGACATCGGACTCGGCTGTGCAAGCGGCATACAAAAGTTCCCTTCATAGATACCTCTGTCTGCTCTCGTCGTTGATAGCTGTGACTATTTACAAAAAACTCCAATACATCATGACATCCACATTCAGCTTCGGCTTTGCGGGGGACGATATCGACATCGATGATACGGAAATGAACGAGACTCACGAGACTCACAGTGACCAGAATGCTGGTGCGAGTTCTACACTCCCAGAGCTGATTCCAGCTAAGAAACATGATGTGGCTGAATGGGTGAGTAACTCAATATATGGCACTCTTCTAGTATCTATCACTTAGATATATCCCTCATCTACCCTACCCTACTCCTATGTTACATCAAGTATCAACAACTAACACTCCACAGATCCCTACACTCCCATCTCAAATCTCATTCAACAAGCTCAGACTACCCACCAAAACTGCCCCTGCAAACCAGCACCTCACCCTCGCTCGTCGGGACATCTTCGACATCCGCGCCCAACTCATGGCCGAGGATACTCCCGACGAGAACAACGAGGAATTAATTGCCGGTCTGGAGAAAGGCGACATCAAGCCCAATTTCTACGAAGGCGGGTTCAAGACCTGGGAATGTGCGGTTGACCTAGCCAAGGTGCTTGTTGACACCGATGAGCTGGCTGCGTCGACGGCTACTGGTGATAGACATATCATTGAGGTTTGTACACCTACCTACCTACCCTAAATAATCCCCAGCATATGGGATACTAACAATAATCTCCAGCTCGGCGCCGGCACCGCCATCCCCTCACTATCTCTCTTCGCACAACTCCTCTCCCGCCCAGCATCAGGACAGCAGCAGCAGCAAAACAAGAGAACCCACTTTACATTCGCAGACTACAACTCTGCTGTTCTCCGTCTCGTCACTCTCCCTAACCTCCTCTTAACATGGTATCACTACACACAATCTTCCCCTTCCCCGTCCGAAGGAGAGCCAGAAAAAGAAGAAAAAGAAGAAGACGAACTCCTCGACATAACCCCCACCCTCATCCAATCCTTCCAAGAAGACCTCTCTGCCCGCGGCATCACCATCTCCTTCATCTCCGGTGCCTGGTCGCCCGCTTTCGTGGATTTGGTTTTCTCCTCTTCCACCCAGGAAGTAACTTACGCCCAAACACTCGTCCTCGCCTCCGAGACTATCTACTCGCCTGCGTCGCTGGGGGCGTTCTCCGAGACGTTAGTCGCATTGTTGCGTCGTGCTGCTGCTGCGCCGGGAGGACAGCAGCAGAGCGCGGCAGCGTTGGTCGCGGCGAAGAAGGTCTATTTTGGGGTTGGTGGGGGTGTTGATGAGTTTTTGGCTGTTTTGGGTGGCGTTGCTGGGACTCTGGGGGTCGAGGTCGATGTTCAGGAGAGATTGGATGTTAAGTCTGAGGGGGTCGGGAGGGTGGTTTTGGGGGTTAGGTGTGCTTAGTAGAGTTGATATCGGTATTGCTGTTTAGTTAGGGTTGTGGGTAGTACTATATATGTATAAGTACTATATCATGGCTTGAGGAAATCTGGTTTATGGTGAGTAGCGTTAGCTTAGATAAAGGTGTGATGTTATTGGCTCTGCTGTTTATATTGGGCATTAGTAGTATCAGTTATGGGGCCAGACTGATCGACAGGGACTTACAGACATAACTATTGCTTGCGATTACAGCAGATAATCTCTAAGTAAGCCCATGCCGAAGACAACCGCATCTGCGGAAAATAAGTGATGGAAAATAAGAATAAAGAAAAAAAAATCTTGAACACTGCCCGGTATATGTACAACAAGCCCTGCTTCCTATGTCTATTACCGACATATTCATAACACAGAAAAAACAACAACAACAGAATCACATTTGCCTTAGTTCAATATGCTCGCCTACTCATAAAGAGACACGACCTTGCCGTCCTGCATCCGGGCCACACGGGAGGCCTCCATCTCCTGATTCTGGCGCTGATAGTGAGCGACAACATGGCTCAGATCGGCGCTCTGGCCGGGGGCGACATTGTAAGGAGCGACGGCGCTGAAGCTGACCCTACAGAGAAAACAAAAAAAAAGATCCCCGGTTAGTACTACTCCGCATATTGAGGTATGATTGGGGGGAGAAGGAATGAAAGTGATGACGTACTCAGGCTGCTTCAATTCAATGAATTCGCGAGGACCCTGACTCGCGAACAAGTGACGGTCATGAGCGACCTTCTCCATGGCGGCCGTGTGGATGGCATTTCTCTGCTCAAAGATCTTCTCGTCCGGAGTCCACTTGTGGATGAGGTTGGTGATCCATGACGGGGAGCCGGAGTTATCGTTCGACTTGGACACCTGGTACAGAACGAAGGCGGACGCGAAGGTGCCGAAGGTGACGTAGAAACTGCGCTGTATGGGTGCGTAAGATCAGGATGTTAGCTTTTTTTCGAGAGCCTTGCTTAGTCGTTCATGCAGGAACCAATGCCACAAATGGGTATAATGGGATGTGAATGTCGGGCGAGGGTAGTAGGGAGGGAGGGTTCATTTGCGTTCCCATTGGAGGAGGGGAGAGAACGTACGCCGAAGCTCTCGTTCACAGGCTCGGCATGGTGAGCTGCGTGCGAGTCGAATCGCCGGGGCTGCTGGTTCCGCAGAAGGAGCCGCGCCGAAGCCACCGATCGCCTAGCGAAGAACATGGTGTGGAGGTAGACAATTGGCAGCGGCGGATCGAGTTATGATGTCGTCGTCGCCGGGGGGGGGTTTTGGGAAGTTGAAAGCGCAGAAAGGCGGTTCGAGGCGGAGTGCACGTGATTGGAAAGCTGGATTGGGATTGGGCTGATTGGTCCAGTTCCAGTGATTGTGAGTCATGTGACGTGAACCATATTGGGACTAGTGCATGGGAGCGTAGAGGTTCCCAAACTGGTTAGCTTGGTTAGGACAACAGTAAGGCTGCCATGACTAAGTCGGTCTGTCAACTGTCATGTGGATTGGTCAGTGAGCAAGTAAATCTTTCCTGTTAGTTACTACTCTTCTTCCCTGCAGCCCCTGACACCTTACGGTGCAAACACATCTTTCCTTCCACTCCCCTCATCTGTCGGCCTAAACTCTCCTGCATGTCGGTCAAATATGATATGATGACCGTCAGACCCTCCCGATCTTCGCCTTACCTGCAGCAACATCCTGGAGGGATCATGGAATCAATCCTCCTTTTCGCCTTGAACGGGGGTTGGGGCAGTTCCATCCAGTGAAGTGTGAGCGGGTCGCTGTGTTGGCTCGTCAGTCATGGTGTTCCTACACCGCACACCCTGGGTGGTCCCGATGCATGGCTAACTGCCTCACTTCAACATGGCGCTCCCCACTGCTTGCGATTAGCGCGGCAGCAATTGGGTTTCAGGTTCTGCCAATTCATGTGGGCTCCTAAACGTCTGGATATCAACAGCGACATGTCATCGATCGTTGGTTAGCGTTGTCCACTCCCCGCCCACTCGACTTGCCCCCCCCCCCCCTCATCTCGCTCTCTTTCTTTCCCCTCGGCGGTGTTTGAAAGTGAGAGAGAGCTCGGACTCTTGGACTCTCGAAATAGCATGCTCTAGGACGCTTGCTCCGCTGCTCGTCTTCTGATTCACCCTGCCACCCCCAAATGATCGAGTCGTTGATGCCCAATGCTGGTGACACCGCCTGCTGATTGGATCCGCTTCGAGTCCCGACTCAAACGCCTCGGTCCACTCCGATGACTCCCTTCTTGCACCCAAGTGTGTACTCTTGCCTTCTCTCGCCTAGTCGGACTCCTACGGTCTATGACTCCCTGGTAGAATGGGTATCAATTGCCCTCTAAGGTTCGGTCCGCCGTCGCGCCTCGCCCAGCCCCCCTGAGGCTGGCCGGAGCCCTTTGTAGATGCAGTTTTTTTCTTGTTTGGGCGTGACTGGGAACCGGTTATTAGCTGCCCTCTTTTTCCCCAACGTCGTCTCTTCTCTCGAATCCCATTCCTCAGAATTCAACTATTTTAAGAGCCAGCGTGTGGAAAACTATCCTGGCTTTCCGGAGTGTCTGTCCACTGGCAAACTTGCCATTCGACATCCGGTGATTTGTCTTCCGTGTATTCCTACCATTTGCGCCCACCTGCATACATTCTGCTCAACGGGCCTGAGCATTATTTTCCATTTTTCCCTATTCTCCTAATTATTTTTTTTCTCCCTCTCTTTTCTCCTTGCCCCCTAAAAATTTTTTTTTCTTACTTTCTTTCCTGCCTGACCGTGTGATCACCTACCTTGTCGGGCCCCTGCGTTTCGCTCTGTATCTATATCAGCTCGGAATATATCACGACGCCGCCGAACGCGCTTACAAATGTACAGTGTTAAACCCGCAGCCACCCAATCTAGTCTCCGCTGACCGTGTTACTTTTTTAGCTATTGGGAACACGTCTTACAGCCTTATTCTAACTTGGGCACGCATCACTATCGCCCACCATGGCAAAGAACAAGAAGTCCGCTAGCAAACAAAAGAATAAGAAGGGCAAGAACCAAGAGACCTCTGGTAATCAGACACCTCAGCCCGACCCTCCTGTTGTTGAACAACAACAAGAGGAACAACAAGAGGAACAACAACAGCAACTAGAACAACAAGAAACACCTCAGCCTGAGCTATCTACCCCTGAACCAGAACAACAAGCAGAGCCAGAGGAACAACAACCACCACCAGAGGCACCTCAACCTGAGCTCTCCACTGAGGAGCCAGCGGTCCAGCCTGAGAGCCAACAAGAGGTCCAACAGGAGGACCAGCAAGACCCGCAGCAAGAGCAATCGCAGCCAGAGGTCTCCACTGAAGAGCCGGTACCAGAGCCCCAGCAAGTAGAAGAGCAAGTTCAGGAGCCACCGACAGCTCAGCCTGAGCCCACATCGGGACAAGCAGAAGAGCAACCAGAGGGTCTGCAAGAACAGCAAGACATACAACCTGACGAGCAGCAACACGAACAACCGCCCACTGACGCTGAAGCTCAAATCGAAACTGAAGCTGTAGCTGAACCTGCAGCTGAGGCGCCGATCGAATCACAGCCGGCAGAAACAGAGCCCGTATCTGAAACCGTACCAGAACCTGCACAAGAGTCAGAGTCGGTGCCAAACCAAGAACCAGAACTGGAGCAACCACAGGCTTCCGTCGAGCCAGACTCGACTGTGCCCGTAGACGAGGCACCAGTCCAGTCGCCGGCGAACGAGGAGGGTGGGTTCGAGCAACCGGAAGTTCCTGAGCCCGCCCAAGTTGAGCAATCCGACGTGAACGATGTGCAGACCTATTCTGAACAGCCACAAGAGTCGAGCTGGGAGGAAATAGGCACATCGGAACAACACGCGGGTGACGCTGAGGAGCACCACGAGACCAACCCTTTCCAATTTGAAGCTAGCGGCGCCGCTGAAACAGTCGAGGAGACGCCAGTAACAGCACCGCAGACACCGCTGGATTCTTCATTCGTCCCGACCCAGTCGTGGGAGCCCTTGGAGGAACCGCAGCCCCAGGCGGACAGCTCATTCGTGGCAGCACCCTTTGGCTCCAACACCGGAGCTCCAGAGACTCACTCGCATATTCCTGAGATGTCTGAGCCTTTCGCCGACACTGTGGTCGCTCAACCTACTCCTTTCTCTGATACGTTCGCCCCCTCGAGCGCTACTCCCGCTTCGAAGCCTGGTTCTCCGATTCCTCAAAGCGGTTCACCAATCCAACGCACTGCATCCCCATCTTTCAAGTCTATGTCGCCTGGTCCTCAGAGCGCTGCTGCTACACCACGTGCCACTTCACCGGTGCACCAATCTGCGTCGCCAGTTCGACCTTACCATTCTCCGGTGCAGCAGTATACCTCACCGATGGCCCAACCCGCCTCGCCAATACGGGAAGCAACGGTTCTGTCGCAAAGGAGTGCCTCTCCCACACCGCCAGGCGCTTCTCCCGTATTTCAATCAGCTTCACCCGCCGTGCAACAATATTCTCCAGTGCAGAAGGTTGCATCACCTGTGCAAAAGACCGTGTCACCTGTACAGAAACACGTCTCGCCTGTCGCGAAACCCGCTTCACCCGTTCCGAAAGTCAGCAGTCCTCTAGCACGTGGGCACATGTCTCCCATGATGTCTCCACAGATGGCTCCTCCGCCAATGACGGCGAGGATGCATCAACAGCCAACCGCCATACCGCCCTACCCCCCCTCCTATCACTCGCCTATCATGAGCGCCAATGGCTTCCTCCCCCAGTATGCCTATTACCAACCTTCCCCCAACATGCACCCGACCCCTCGAGGCTCAATAGACCCCGGGTCGGCTGCTTCCTTCCAGGCTTTGCAGAACCTGGGATTCGGCAATGGCCATCCTCTCAATGGCAAAGGAGGTACCATCTCGCCTCCGCACGAACATGAGGAGCCTATTGAGCTTCTCCAGAGGATCCAGGATGCCATTCCCGACATCGGCCGGCTGCTCAATAGCTACAAGACCACCAAGGGCAAGTTGCAGGCGCGGGAGTCCGAGTTCAAGCAGATGAAGAACCAACATGAGCAGGAATTGATGCACAAAGACTTCTACATCGATGCCCTGCAGAATCAGATGCGGAAGGCGGCCAGTGAAAGTGCGGAGGAATCAACGAGACTGAAGAATACCATCAATGAACTTCGCATGGAGCTGGGCAACGAGAATGAGAAGAAGAAGGACCTTCAGGAGAGGCTACATGATTCGGAGAAGGCCAATGAGGAGCTAACGCAGACGAAGGCCGAGCTGGAGGAGGAGGTCAAGACCCTCAACACCAACCTTCAAGAGGCACATGAGACCTACGAGAGGGATATGGAGGCTGCCAGACAAGACAAGGAGTCATCTCTTGCCACTCAGAAGAAGGAGCTGACGGAGATGTTCGAGGAGATCAAGGCAGAAGACGAGAAGGCAGCAGCTGAGGCTCTCGCGGCACGCGAGCGCGAGTTGCTCGACCAGCAGGACGCGATGAAGAACGATTACGAGAACCAGAAGCAACAGATGCAGGAAGCGCACGACACACTGCAAGCCGATTTTGACTCCAAGGTTGCCGAGCTGGGCTCGACAAAGGAAGAACTTGAAACCAGAACTACCGAACTCGCAGACAAGCAGAAGGAACTGGAGGTTACCATTGAGACCAACGCCAAGGAGATGGAGGACCTTCGTCAGGCCCACGCTAGCGAAGTCGAGTCCCTCAACAACAGCCACGCAGAGAAGGTGGCAGAGATGGAGAAGGAGCACAGCGACCAGCAGCAGAAGTGGGCTGATGAGAAGACCGACTTGGAGGGACGGCTCTCGGACAAGATCCAGGCCTTGGAATTCTGCGAGCGGGAGAACAAGAAATTGGAGGAGGATAATCTTGTCAAGGAGAAACAGGTTCAGCATGCGGTGGATGGAATGCGCCTCACCATTGATAATTTGGACAAAGATTGCGACAGGTTGAGAAAGACTCTTCACAGCCTTGGAGAAGCCACTGACCTCAAGAGCACGAAGGGTGATACATTCTTGTAAGTGACCCAGTGCATTGAGAATGTGTTTTAGTACCCGACTTTCGTTTATGATCTCTCATCTTCCGATGTTCTTTTCTTTTTCCTTTTCTTTTTCTTTCTTCTGCATTATCTTTGCATTTTAATCTCGATGTCATGTTTGCATTTTTCTTCTTTTCTGCATGAACATGAACCAGAACCAGAACCAGACCACAGTCTTTTGTTTGTTTCATTTCCTTTGTCTTTTCTCCTGTTCTCCTGTCTTTTTCTATAGACTGATCATGATGATGACTATGATGACATGTTGATAACGCTATAAATGTACGTGCTCTGATAAACATCTGCGAAATCTAGTTTGGATTGTTTCGGCCAACTATCTCGGCTTATTGTCTCCTTGTCCAAGGAGCACTTCTCGTACCTTCCAATTGATCCTCCCAAGGACATTCTATCCAAACTTCCATCGGAACTACCATCGTTCCTTGATAACACCCCGGCATCCGTCGAGCTTCGTTCAGCATATGTTCAGCATGTCATTTCTAAGACCTTGACCTACCGCATCTTCCATCCCTTCCTGTTCACCTTGGGCCGCCGGTTCGATAAGGCCGATACCTTCTTCCAGATGCTGTCGATGGATATCCGCCGCAAGTCCGTGAGACGGGAGGCGTTCTGGAGACAGCAGACACTGAAGGCGGCGTACACGACCTCGGACGCCAAGCAATCGATCAACGTGGTGGCGGCCGTCATTGTTGACGAGATCATCGACCAACTCAAGCACTTTGCCGACCCGAAGAACCTGGATGCTCTTCTCGTCTCAGTCCGCAAGATTGTCAAGCTTGCAGCTGAGACCTGGCGACTTGCGCGCGTGGAGCGAGAGCTGATCCTGGCCTCGTTGCCGTCGCCCGATGCCGATGCCGTTTCCAATGATGACTGGGAAGAGTATGGCACCCCCAAGGAGGGCAGCCTTAGCTCTAAGGAAGACCCCACTCGTCATGTTATCCTGCGCACCTTCCCCCGGATCACGCGTGAGGCAGCGCACGAGGATTTCGCGATCGAGGAAGAAAAGTACAACCCCTGCACGTACTCCCGTGGCTGTGTTCTGTACTCCGACTCCCCTGTGGTCATGGCCCGTCTTCAAGAGTTGGCGAAGAAGTCAGATGACTCGCCTCGTCGTGGTTCAAGAGACTCGAGCCGCTCAGATGGGTCGCCCTCTCCCCGCCGGAGTCGGGACGGCATGAGGGCATGAACGAAAGCTTCGAGTAGTGCGATGTGAGTGGCTATGTCGACCAGGATACTGTTTTAATAACCGGCTTGTTTCATATACTTTTGGTCTTTCCCCATTTTGTCTTATCTTGCCGGCCCGGCCCTCGCGGGGCTGCGGGGCCACAACAATCCTTTGGGTTTCCTATGTCTTCCAACGTTTTCTTGATCATGACCGAGACGAATTCTGATGAGAGGGCCCCCAGCACCCATTCCTTTCTCTAACCAATGTATTTTTTCTGACACATTTTTTATTCTTCCTTTCGACATTACCATGTCATTTCGGGGTTATACCTCTTTTGTTTATGTTACGATTGCGTCTTTGCCTGTTTTAGCGAGCGATTGTTTATTTCATTGTAACAAACAAATACTGTATGTGAAACTACTACTATATATTTATCAATGACCAGGACCTGGAGGCCCCTCACAGCACCTACACAGCATGTACTTAGCGGATATGATGGACGAGTGATGAGAAGATGCGCAGGAGATTGGGGAATGATCTACAATGAAGACATGATGAGAAATGACAGAATCAATCATATGAGCAATCTACTCCGATTGTTTGCAATTCTTCCAACCGAAGATTGACTTCACCCGATCGACAAGTACCCTGTAAGACCATAGACCAACCAGTTTGGTTGGTTAGTTTAGCTAGATAGATACATGGTAAGTACTGTAGTAGTAGTAGTAGTCAGTTACCCGGGCGCAATTGCACAGCCACGCACATGATGTCAAGATCAGCCATTGCCACACATTCGTAACATACAGTCTCTCTGCGCCAAAGCTTGGTTGGTGCGCGCCCTTTGAGCCTCCTGTGTCCCACATCCGGGGAGAGGAAGCCGGTTACACCAGGATACTCTCTTCGCGAGAGTTCTAGACAGAGAGCAGCCTGACGGTGTGACAAATCCATTCCATTTAGTTACCTCCATGATTTGACTAAGGCTTTCACAGTACCACTGTTTGACAAGTATAGTCCACTGTTATTCACCGCTCATAATAATGCCCACTACTTGGGTACATGCAATGAATTCAAACTTCAACTGCCAAGATGTTCCACCGGTTCTGACCCCAACTTGCGCAGCCTCAGACAGGGCTGATCCAGTCGGGAAAAAAAAAAACATCTCATTATTGCCAAGAATAGTTTTCCGTTAAAATTGTGCTACTTGAGTACCAAGACTCTACACCGTAGTAGATGAGTTACAAAGTAGATAGATAGATAGAGTGGATTGGGGGTTCAGAAGGTGGCTTGTGTCGTGGCTGAGCTTTAGCTACTACCGTTTCAGCACGGGAGTGGGGGTTATAAATAGCAACTGCCGATATTATCATCAGTTCCTTAGTATTTACCGCAGCAGCATAACTGCTTATACTATTGGGCTGACATTGTGGTGTATACTACTCTAGTAAGCATGCAGTAGATATGTTAGTAGTAAAGTAGTAGGTACATGGCAAGAATAGAAACACTCACACTTCTACCAGTTATTATTATTCTCCTTCCCTTGTGACAAGAGATGAGCGAGTATTTTACTAGTAGATTGCGATAATCAAGGTCAAGTGGGGAACTTGGTGGGGACGGCACGAGCCCTGCGAATTTCCGAGCTGCTTTTTAAAAATTTTCATGACGGGGAATGTGGACGGATAGGTTAGGATGGATCCATGGTTTGACTGGAGTCCTTGTAGGGATGGGAATGGGGTGTTCATCGGGTTGGGTTGTGTGTTTGTGATCCACTGATCATTTGTAGCATGTGGGTTTCTTTTTTTGATGTTCATAGGGTTGGTTGATAGATAGTCTGAGAGGAAGGGATCAGCAGCGTGCAGACTTCGGATTATTATTTATTTTATCTTGTTCATTGATTCTTCTTCTACTAACCAATTATTATTATCTCTGTTATTTTTATGACATTTTCGTAGGATGATTGGGGAAAGATCTGTGCTGGGATAGTAAATCATTCTTAACATATGAAGAGAGAGAGCAAGCACTGTGAATATTCAGGAGATGGCATAACATAAACTGCAATTCCCACCACCCCACCAACACTAACTATGACTGATTGGTACCTGAACTTGTTAGGTTTTAGTTTGGCTACTAGACTAGTTGGTACCCCGCTTGGCTGTGAGTGGCCCGCAATGCTGCACGCCGGCGCGTATCGTCGCCATTCTCACCAGCCAGATTGAGGCCTTCATCCGGTTTGTGACAATTGAAGATGATGGTTGGAAATTTAGTAGCTTGGCCTGGCTGGCCCCCCCTAATACTACAGGAGTACTACTACTACTAGTAGTAGTATTAGACAGTAAGCTTCACTCCAACCCCCTTCCGATGTGGCTCAGTTCTCTTCGAGTGGTGAATGTGGATTCCCTGTCAAGTCACAGCCGCAAGGCGCCTTTGCGCTTTCCCTCGTTTTCTCTCTCTCTCTCTTTCTCTTCTCTTCGTCTCTTCTCACCCACTCACTCACCCTCACTACCCTGAGCACTCTTTAATCTCTCGCATTTCCTTCGCGTCATCTTCTCAGGCCAGGCTTCTCAAGACCAGAGCCTCGTTCCCTGGGCTTTCTCTTTTTTATTTTTATTTTTTCCCCCCTACTTTCTCCCCTTCCCACCCATTATTTCGCTCGTTATTCTCTCTCATCCTCGTTCCCCGTGACTGCGGCTCTACTTATCGAAATACATTTAATACCCGTAATCTATCCTACTACTATCGCTATCCTCTCTATTATTCCCTCCCCCCTCCCCCCCACGCTTGCTTCTCTCTCTACTACTTCTCTTCACCACCTCAACTTGGACCACCAACAACTAACCAACATTCTGAATCCATCGTTTTCCCCTTCCCTTTCCCCGTACTACTTCCACTGCTTGTCGCTCCACTCAGGATTCCGTCCCGCTTAGCTGAACTCTCTTCTGCAATCTTCAGTCACTTGTTTTCCCCTCGCTCGTGACTAAGTACTAGTACTCCAAGCTCGGGTCTTGGCCTCATTTGTTCCTCACATCACTAACTCGCTCCTCCCGGCTTACTGCGACGGTGGCTTACCCACTTCACGTTGCGCCCGCCACATACTGATTTAAGGGGCATTCCTGAATAATCTTCATTGCTTCTACGCCGCTTTCACTGCTTACGAACGCCGAGGCGCCCTGTTCTCCTCCATGTCGATCTAGAAATGCTATCTCGGATTCCCGTTCACTGGTCTTTGTGTGTAGTCTGCTTCACCGAGACAGACTGAAAACCAAGCCTGCAGAACAGCAGAATCCCAGCTGTTTTCTTGGATCACCGAGACTTCTTCTGACTGAAGAGGTGATCGCTTGTATTCACCGCATAATTCTTACCGCGCGCATCGCACGGTCGATACGAACCCAAAGGCCCACTGCAAGCATGTCCACCTTATCACCGAGGCTCATCCAGGACGAGTCGCCCACCGATATGACTTTCTACGATTCCAACTACCACGACCCTTACCTCTCGGCCCCCTTGGACCCCGATGAAGCTTCCTTCAAGTCCTCCGCTATCAGATTGACGCCTGTTCCTGGTGAAGACCATAGCACAGGAAATCCATCGTCTCCCTTGAATATACAAACACACGATGACTTAGCCTATGGACATGCCAATGGTCAAGCGGCTTCTTACTCAGAGTTTCTCAGCCCAACCGATGACTTTTCGAGCGATATGAGTGCGCACACGTCCCCCAGCGCCGATATATTATCCGCAGGTTTTGGCATGGACGTGGACTTTGGGAACAATGCACTGCAACATGACAACAACATGGCGCGGCCCCTACCGAATATTGACACCTCGGCTACTGACATGCTGCCCTCGTCAACGTCCATGCTGTCGCCACAGCAAGCTGGTTGGACTCCGGTCAGGGAATCTAGTCTACTGCCAGATACGGATTACATCAAGTCTCAGACTGATGAGCCCGACATTATGGCGCGGCAACCCCAAGCACTGTCATTGATCACAAGTCCCCAGAGCGATAACCTCAGTGTTCATGCATTGCCGGATTCGGCCAGAGCAAGGAGTCCTATTGTCAAGATCGAAAGCTACTCCCGCGGGGACTCACCGGTCAGAGATGCTTCTTCAGCCGGGCGACGTAGGAGTCTGACTTCCAACCACCTTTCGCCGAACGATATGACCAGTGATTCCGAAAATGAGGGCGTCGAAGAAAGCTACGGGGCAACCGGGCAAAGCTACACAGTTGCACGAGCGAACGACGGTTCCTGGTTACCCAACATGACTACCGGGCAAGGCGGCGTTGAGCCATCGTCACGAGACGAGATTTTCGTCCCAAGTCCAAACGAGATGGAGAATCGACGACGACTAGAGGAGAAGAATGCCGACATCCAGTCATGGTCAGCATCTGTAAGCGCTGCGAATAGTGAGGCAGGAGACGAGGACACTTCCTTGCTTGGCGGGAATCGTAGCCACCTGGGAGGCAGACGCAGAGCCAAAAGTGCCGGGGACCCATCGCTTCAGCCGGATTACTTCTCCCTGAAATCTCGACTTTTGGAACCCGCCGTACCGGGGCCTGGGCTCTTGATCCATGAAAGTAGCGATGATGGCATCAGTGAAGGCGGGTCGGACAGTGCAGAAAGCCGATCAGACTCACCAGCTGTCAGTGTCAATGAAGCGAGGTGGGCACACGAGGATGCAGAAGTTGCCCCTGAGGAAGAGCAACAGAGACCCGAAGATGGAGAACCGTCCCCACATCAGTTCCTCGGAGCTCCTCCATGGCGGGATCCTGAGCACGACGCATTTCCCCAGGAGACGCGGATGCAGCCTGCAAGCTCGAGTGCTGCCATGGTAGAATATCAACGACGAGCCAAGGACATTGACACCGCCTCGCGCTCGGCGACTTGGGGCACACGGCATTTGAACGATGCAGAAGTCAACAGTATTATCGGCCCAGGTGGCTCCTTCGAAAATATGTCACTAAATGACAAGAAACATGAAAGACGAAGTAGCCTCCGAAAATTCCTACACAGAAAACCCTCCAGCAACTTGAAACGGCGCCTATCGGATCTCTCAATCATTCCCCCCAGCACGGAGGGCGCGAGCAAAGATGAAGATGTCAAGAGTCCCCCGTTGAGAAAGGACAGCTTCCCTCACCGGTTGAACCTCAGTCGATCCAGGTCTCCAAGCCTTAACACAAGCAGTGCCGTGATCGCTATTGCCGGACAGATGGCGGCTATTGGAGGCAAAGATTCCCTCCGGGCTGCGTCGCCAAATCCAGCCACAGGCCCCTGGACATATCTTAAAGGTCGGGGAAGAAGCCGAAGTGAGCTACCAAGGGCTTCAGCTCCCGGGTTGATGGACCTGATGACCAGTCATGGCGGACCACCGATCCCCAACATTGCCTACTCACCACGGGCAAGCAACCACCACGAAGCCCCGCAGAAGAGTCCAGGAGAGGACCACGCGGGAGCCAATGCAGATGATGAGGATGACGACATGGTGGACGAAAAGGGATTGGTGATGCAGTTCCCGCTCCCATCGCATTTGCCGGTGCCGACTCTCGAGGGGTTCAAGAACCAAATCACGCAGATCAATCCCCGACTTCCGCCCGCATTAATTGAACGCTTTGCTCATGAGCAGCTTCGTCGGTACCGGAAGCTAGTAGAGAGCAAGCAAAGCCATACACGTGCTGTTGGCAACAAAAAATGTAAATCAGGGAAGTTCTGTTTCGCATTGGGTGGCGAGGCAAAATTGCTGGCACCTCGCGCTAGCCCCGAAGCTGCTCACACGCAGTTTCATATCCCGGGTCATGGAGCGGTCGAGGACGATCCTCACAAGCTTGGAGAAAGCGCCGTCACTGCAGCACAGTTTCCCCCGGGTGTACCCCTACCGCCGGTCAAACGGTTGCCAGCGGAGTTCGAATGCCCGGTATGCTTCCAAGTCAAGAAGTTTCAGAAACCTTCAGACTGGACCAAGCATGTTCACGAAGATGTGCAGCCATTTACATGTACCTTCCCACAGTGCTCGGACCCCAAGTCCTTCAAGCGAAAGGCTGATTGGGTCCGACACGAAAGTGAGCGACATAGAAAACTAGAGTGGTGGACGTGTACGGTTCCTGATTGCAACCATACTTGCTACCGGAAGGACAACTTTGTACAACATCTTGTCAGGGAACATAAGATGCCAGAGCCCAAAGTCAAGAAACCGAAAAACCAGGGGGCGTCGACCAAGACCAAAGGCGAATCTGTTTCTCCGGACTCGCAGGAAGACAGCAATCGCGAGCGGGAGATTGAACACCTCTGGGACCTTGTAGAGAAGTGTCGACATGACACGCCCAGGGGACCCAAGGACGAACCGTGTCGCTTTTGCGGTAATGTCTGTAGCACCTGGAAGAAGCTAACGGTGCACTTGGCCAAGCACATGGAACAGATCGCTATGCCCGTTTTGGCGCTTGTAGATGAGAGGGATCTTCCAATGATCGAGACTACTGGTCCTAGCGATGAGCCCGCTCCTGGACTGAATCCAGGGACCCCACCAAATGAAGCCAGCCGTTATATGCCAAACTCGGATGGCGTTGACGGACCCTCGGTGGCATCGATGGATCTCACGCAGGCACCATACGCCAGCAATAATGCCGAGAACGCCCAGGAGCCTATGATGTCCTTCACTCCGTCATATTCCCCCCACTTGCCAACCATGCCTGGTGGTTGGATCTCCGCCGAGCCTGAGTCAATTGACGCGTACGATGATGCGCCCATAATGGGCCTGCCAGGGGGGAGTGCGGATCAGACGCGGCTCATGCCGGTGCATCAGAATTCGGTCACCTATCCGCCCCCTTTCAACGCTGGGCCTCGACTGAGGGTCCCCAGTCCAAACCTCAGTGTGTTGCAGGACCCGTATAGCTTCTCCCTATCCCCCACGGACATGCAGCCCACCTATGATCATCAGGGGCCAGTTTACGTATCACCTTCCACGGACCACCGCTATGGGTATCAAGGCTCGATGCCACCGGCCATGCCTTACGTTCCGGGGGGCTACCGAGAACAGCCCTGATCCTCGATCGGGAGAGGCGACGCCGTAACGTCTCACGGGGCTTATGACCCTAACGCAGCAGTTGCAGATCATGAAGGGTGGAGGATGGAATGCGCTTGGAACGGTCGTCTATCCTGGGAAATACTCCTATGACCACACTCGGATTTTTGGGAAAGGATTTTACTTCTTTTTTCTTGTTCTGCTTTTTAGGTCTTATTTCTGTATCTTGTTGATCTGCATCCACCTATATACCCACCATTGGATTGAACATTGCACCATTGACCGTTCTTGGGAAACAATATTGTATTGTATGCATGTATGTTACTGTGGCTCTGTTTCTCCTACAGGATCCCTTTCTGACCTGCTTAGAGGTTCTCCCAATCTCTTTTCCTTTTCTTGTCTAGATAGGTTTTGGGTTCCGATTTAATTTTTATTTTTTTATTTTTTTATTTTTTTATTTTTTTATTTTTATTTTTTTTTTTTTAGTTTGGCGTATCTCTTGGGGCTTGGCTAGGGATGGATGGCGTCAGCCGAGAACCAGGACTACGATGGTCGCCGAACCCCGTCAATCTAGGAATGAGCTAGTTTCGCATCATCTATTGCCCTGTGTGCTACCTACTGACATCGTATGCACGCTGCACGCGTGGCCCCCAAATTGTCAATTGGTCAGGATGCGATGATTGGAGGAGAGACGACGCACGTCGCAGAGAAACTTGACGGCATACTGCAGCGGGTGGTGAGGGGATGGCATCCGGACGACATTCAACGCAGGACGGAAGATTCCCTCCTCGCTGCCTGTCAACGTCGGGTCGGAGAAGGCGAAACCAACGGCTGATCAACGACCCTGGCGGAAGCACAGGATGGGGGGTGTGGTGGTGGGTGAAAGCATAGTCCCCCCGTGGTTACGACGACGCTGCGAGCACAGCCCATGAGGCTTGAAACCTCAACCGTTGCTCTATTGAAGGAGATCCCTCGGGCTGTGATCTGACGCTGGAGGTGATATTTTTAGGCAGACCGGGATGATGATGGGGAAAGAAAGGGAGTAAGGGATCCACGGGGAGGAAAGGCGTGGAAACTAAACTAGTCGATCGACGACCATGACACTACTGGACACGCTACTCTTTCTCTCTTGGGTCTCTACCTCTACAGGTATTGAGGGTTCCGGCATGCATCTAG